TCGTGGAACCGAAACTAACGAAAATTAGCCAGGCTTATTTTTTTAAAAAAAAAAAGCCTGGCTTATTGAGTTAGCTCGCTTCGTGGAATACTCCCACGGACCCTGCTTAGTCAGCTGATTGTTGTGATTTGTGGCGTTCCAAACACGTGTGCTGCCAACAGGGAAGTTGCTGAGTGCCCTCTGATGGACAAACTACGCAACGACAACACTCATAATATTGTTGAAGGATCTGTCTTCCGTCTCTGTTTCTTTTTAATTGTCATTTATCGGCCGTTATAAATGCTGATACCGATTTATCTGTAGCTCATATGTGCTCTAATGTCCAGTATATTCTTAAATTTCAGCAAGTATGAAACTTATTAAGCATAACTTATAAGGAGTGTATGGTATATTAGGTGTAAGGGTTCAGTTCAGTGCTGAAGGGAACAAGTATGGCTGACCAGGGACTGCTGCTAAGGATGCTGCAGCTTTTGACACACAAGGGGCTGCTGCTGAGGACACACCAGTGGCTACTGCTAAGGATGCTGCAGCTGTGAACACGCAAGGGGCTGCTGCTGAGGACGCTACTGCTGTGGACACACCAGAGGCATTTGCTGAGGATGCTGCCCTATGGATCTTTGCGCAGTACTGAGTGTGTATGCACTGAAACCAACTGTTTAAACCATTTCTCAGGGCAACATGTGTTTGTAACATCACAATAAATGAAAAATAATTAATATAATAAAAAAGTTATATATATATATATATATATATATATATATATATATATATATATATATATATATATATATTATATATACGTTAATGTGTATGGAACATGGAACAATGAAGTACAGTAGTAAGTAGTAAGAAGTACAATACCTATCACTGTCCGTTCATTGGAATTCAACTGTATTTCCATTCCACCACCTAATGCTTCCTTCTTATCTTCAGCAGTCTTCATACCTCTGTTTGACCCAACCATGCAATTTAAGAACAAGTTCTATCTTGCACAAGGCATCCTTTTTGTCTTTTGTGTTCGTATCATGGAAGTGGTCATTCAGAGCATAATGCTCGGCTGACCCCGTGAGTGGGTGGGCATTTTCATCTGGCACTGGCTTCTTATTTGTTTGCCAAGGCAAGCTGACTTTAATCTGCCCTGCTTGAAGCCAATCTGACATTGTTGTCTGCTGGCTCAAGCAGTCTACCCTCATAGGGGCTAAAAGGCACGGACTCTGGCTTTTTTAGGTTTGTATGTGTTCAGCCCTCTGGCAAAATACATTACACTGGGGAAATGAGTCATTGATAACAGAATGTGAAATCTCTTGGGCTCTCACAAATTTCACCATGAACACAACAGCACAGGACCTTCATAGAACTTCACAGGTCATATGTTCCTCGGGTTTGCATTTCTTTACACAGCCTCATGACTAGGTACTATATCACATTGCTTGCATAGACACAGCTTCCATCTATTGTTGCGCAGGAAGATACACAGATGCAAGGACAAAAGCAAGTGGTCATCGTAATTGTGAACTCTCTCAGACCTTTCCTGATAAGATCAGGCCACACCTGTAGCAACACTTGCAGTATGTTTAAACTCCTAATGAAAACAATTTCTATATACAGTTGTCAACAGCATTCAACAAAGTATTGTTTTATGTGTATTTGCAGTAAGGTCTTGGACATTTAGATTTTTTTGTTACATAGATATGTAAATGATAAAATGACACCACTGAGCATAGACATAGACAGTGCATTTCAATACAAGATGTTTGGCAATGGTAGAAGCAATACTAAATCATGATAATAATGCATAGTAGGCTTAAATTTAGATTAAATAAATATTTATATAGATAAAAAGACAACAAACATCTGTCATAATCAAGATTGTTGCTTTTGAAGTAATAAGCTGTTTGGCTCATACACAGAAATAAATCTTTTCAAAGAAGGCACACCAACAGTAACCTGGCATGACAGAACGGCTCCCCTATTGTTGGCGTCTATTTGCCAATATAGACAGAAATTCTTTTTGTCATTCCCAAGCCACTTATCATGTCAAAACATCCCTTTGAAGAGTAGGAGGATCGGTTCTAGCAGATGGGCAGTAGGTTGAGGGACTGAACATGTTGATACTTAAATGGAAATGAGTTACTTCTTCGAGTAAATTTTGAGTTGATCCTGCAGAGATCCATTTGACATCTTTTTTGCTGATTTACATCCCAATTCTTTTTAATTATGTGAATAGGTGTATATGAGTCCTGTAATTGATTTTGCTACTGCAAAAATGCCACTTACAGCATTGACACACTCACAACTCAGGTGATGTTGAGCTGTTATGTCCTCTTATTGTCATGTTTCTTCTGTATGTGTATCCTTATGTAACGTTTTTGATAATGACTCCACAATGAATGAACATGACAGTGTGTTGCCCCTGTCTATGGAGTCCAGGTGGTGGGCAATGTTCTACTGGTAAACAATGGGTCCTGGCATTCATGTGGACGTCAGTTTGACACATACCACTTACTTAAACACATATTGTTTGGTTTAAGGATCATGACAAAGAGTTCCCCAGATTCCAATCTGATTGAGAGTCAGTGGGATGCACTGCAGCTTCTTGGTGCTGATACCATAAGGCAGTCAGTGCCTCCACAGGTCAGAGCTGTTTTGGTGGCATGCAGAAGACCAACAACAAATTAGGCAGAGATACACTGTATTGCCAAAAGTATTTGCTCGTCTGCCTTCACACGCAGATGAACTGGAGTGACATCCCATTCTTAATCCATAGGGTTTAATATGATGTCGGCCCACCCTTTGCAGCTATAACAGCTTCAACTCTTCTCAAGGTTTAGGAGTGTGTTTATGGGAATTTTTAACCATTCTTCCAGAAGTGCATTTGTGAGGTCAGACACTGATGTTGGACAAGAAGGCCTGGCTCGCAGTCTCCGCTCTAATTCATCCCAAAGGTGTTCTATCGGGTTGAGGTCAGGACTCTGTGCAGGCCAGTCAAGTTGTTCCACACCAAACTCACTCACCCATGTCTTTATGGACCTTGCTTTGTGCACTGGTGCGCAGTCATTTTGGAACAGGAAGGGGCCATCCCCAAACTGTTCCCACAAAGTTGGGAGCGTGAAATTATCCAAAATCTCTTGGTATGCTGAAGCATTAAGAGTTTCTTTCACTGGAACTAAGGGACCGAGCCCAACTCCTGACAAACAACCCCACACTACATAATCCCCCCTCCACCAAACTTTACACTTGGCACAATGCAGTCTGACAAGTACCGTTCTCCTGGCAACCACCAAACCCAGACTCGTCCATCGGATTGCCAGACGGAGAAGCGTGATTCATCACTCCAGAGAACACGTCTCAACTGCTGTAGAGTCCAGTGGTGGCATGCTTTATACCACTGCGTTCAACGCTATGCATTGCACTTGGTGATGTAAGGCTTGGATGCAGCTGCTCGGCCATGGAAACCCAGTCCATGAAGCTCTCAATGCACTGTTTTTGAGCTAATCTGAAGGCCACATTAAGTTTGGAGGTCTGCAGCGACTGACTCTGCAGAAAGTTGGCGACTACTATGCACCTCAGCATCCACTGACCCCACTCTGTCATTTTACGTGGCCTACCACTTCGTGGCTGAGTTGTTGTTGTTCCCAATCACTTCCACTTTGTTATAATACCACTGACAGTTGACTGTGGAAAATTTAGTAGCAAGGAAATTTCATGACTGGACTTGTTGCACAGGTGGCATCCTATCACGGTACAATGCTGGAATTCACTGAGCTCCTGAGAGCAACCCATTCTTTCACAAATGTTTGTAGAAGCAGTCTGCATGCCTAGGTGCTTGGTTTTACACACCTGTGGCCATGGAAGTGATTGGAACACCTGAATTCAGTGATTTGGATGGGTGAGTGAATACTTTTGGCAATATAGTGTATTTTGCTCATCAATGTATATGACAACTGTTATCATGAATTAATGGCAGTTTCCTGCAAATTGTTGTATTTACATATTTCAGCCACACGAGGGCATCTACAGCACATGCCCACAACACATCTGTTTTTATCTTTGTATCTATTCAACTATGAGATGGGAAGTGTCAATGCAAAGTAACTTAGAGAGAAGCTTACAACACCTAAACAGGTTTAACAATATTTTGATAATAATAATAAGAAGAATAAATCCTGAAAATGTTTCTTAAAACCACACTATTAGTTTTTTAGATTTTCTATATGGGGGGCACAGTGGCGCAGTGGCGCAGTGGGTAGCGCTGTCGCCTCACAGCAAGAAGGGCCTGGGTTCGATTCCCAGCCGGGTGACCAGGGCCGTTTCTGTGTGGAGTTTGCCTGTTCTCCCCGTGTCTGCGTGGGTTTCCTCCAACAGTCCAAAAACATGCAGTCAGGCCAATTGGACATGCTAAATTGCCCCTAGGTGTGAATGTGTATGTATGTCTGTCTGTCTGCCCTACGATGGACTGGTGACCTGTCCAGGGTGTATCCTGCCTTCCGCCCAATGACAGCTGGGATAGGCTCCAGCACCCCACCGCGACCCGGAAGGATAAGCGGTTTAGATGATGGATGGATAGATGGATAGATGGATGGATGGATTTTCTATATATAAAAAACATTGTACACAGTATACACCATGAGTATTTCAAATCAACCAGGCTTTACATAATTTTAATTCATTTTATTACTTCAATAAGGGAAAAATGAGGCTAAATGAGTCTATACTAGTACAAACAATATGAGGCCTAAAGTGTCTGGAGGAAGAACATAAGATTTCTAAACAAATCAAAACTTTATCATAATTGTATACTACAACTTTAAGGCTAATTAACTCCATATTTGTCCAAACAATATGAGGCCAAAAGAGTCCCCAGAAAGAATGTAAGATTTATAAACAAACCAAAAGTTTATAGAAATAGTGTAGTAAATTGCAATAAAAACTAAAAAAAAACTTCAATATATTCACAGTTGCACTAAACATCTTTGCCCAAAACAACATTTTGGAAACATTTTCCATTTTAGTCATATCAAGTGTAATAGTATCACAATGCTTAATACAGAACTAGACCCATACATCTTATTGCCAGCAAAGTCAGCCTAACACAGATTTTTACAGTTCTACATCTCCCCATTAACATGTCTAATTTTTAATTTCAATCTTTTTTCAACACAAACTCTAAAATCTTAAAGCAGTTAGTAATTACATTTTACATGGTCTAATCCAACATGTTTTAAACTAGGTTTAAAACAAGTGCAAAATGTATATCTTATATACTGATTGTTTTTTGAAACGTTGTTGAATAAAACTATTCACCTGTGTGCACTAATCTGTACATCTCTGGCCATGTGAGTGACATGGCTATTGAATGTTAGCATGTGCAATAGCCAGAATACAATTCAATCTCACAGTGGTAGCAAATTTCATTGTTTTGCTGTAGTACTGAAAAATCAGTGCAAATGTGACAGTGTGCAACGCTCGACCCTTGAATTTGAAGTTGGACAGAGGTGAATATACAGTCTACCACTAACACATTTGTTATAGCTTTAATATGTTCATGGACTAGTTGGCGGAGGTTTAAAGAGTCCAGTCTTCCTGAGGTATCGTACTATGAGTGGTACAGACACAAGAGTGATGCTGATCCGAAGTGGGGCAAACAGCTTGTGAATGGCATATGCTAGAACAAATGTGCTTGTGCCAGCAGCCATCTTCGACTGAACCACAGATTCACTGAATCCCATCTTACACAGCACAACAGCCATATTGATCCCACTGAGGAGAGGAATAGACATGAATAAATGTTAAATATATAAAATAGCTTTTGAAAATTGTAATATGTAACACAAGGAAGTGTCATTTTGTTGCTTAATACAAGAAGGAAGAGCACAGTTGTAGAGGCATAATAAGGACTTAGCATCTTTTGCAGCAGGGCCAGTGAAACAGTATCTTCAGAAATTGAAAAATAATGCAGAAAGGTCCCCAGTACCCACTGAGAACATGAATTACACATTTGAAAACGTTTAATAGGGGTTTCATAAAGGCTATGTAAGAATGTCCAGTGGATAATCTGGTAATTTGGATTTTTATAAGCTATGGAAATCATTTTCCAGGTCTGATTGAAAAAATATTCTGGTATGTTAGAATGAATGCCCTTATGTCTACATTATCCATCAATATTAGTGAACTGTAGGATGATGCAAGCAGAAAGGAGTAGATGTCTAAGGCAGAACTGCACAGCTAGGAAAAAACAGCTTGTGTAGTGGATGAATTGGTAGATGTTTGTCCCAAGGCCCATGGCCTTTAGGTGAAAATCGAGCACCACTTATAAATACTGTTAGGGGGCTAAACTTGACAAAGAAAGAAAAAAATTGACCTTCGTAAAAGTGGCTGGGCTGTCAATCAGCTGAGGGTGTGAAACACATTAATGGCTGCTTCAAGTGGCAAGCAGCAAGGCTGGAGGTGATTCAGATGCACATTCAGAGAATACAGTATTGTTTTCTGTAAAGCTGCTTTGTGACAATGCCTGCTGTAAAAAGCAATATATAAATAAACTTTGACTTGACTACATAAGCTTGATTTCACTACATGAAAAGGGTTCTATATAGCACCAAGCACAAATGTCAAGCTTGTAACAATAAAAGAACTTGGCATGACTAGTTTAACGTTGAAACCATCATTGATATTAATCCAAGTTTTAGATTTTAAACATTAACAATAAGAATATAAATATGACTTGTCCTTGGAAAAAACAATAATTAATTATAAATAACTTCAACAATGAAACAACACATGCTAAAGCATATAATTTTTTTCTGATGCATTTATGTTATGTTACACAAAGAAAAAAGACACTATAGATTGTTTTTACAAATATAGGCATTTTTTTTAAAATGCCATTTTTGACTAGTGGGCTTTAATGGTACAGTGCCACAAAGCATGCTATATGAGCTGGATGTATAAAATTGTATATACACATCCAATACATGTTTTTCTTACCTTTTAAATAACATCATCCCCATTAGTTCCTGCTTTGTCATTTGAGCTCAGCATGCTACTTTTAGGTCCACCTCAGTGTTTTTCAATTGAGATTGCTTATCCTTTTCCATGGGCCTATTTCCACTGCAATCTTGACTACAGATTAAATATGGTTTCACTGTATCCACTGTTCCTACTGACACACTCAGTGTCTTTCTAGTTAAAACATGCTTTAAAAAAGGCCAAAACACCCTATATTTAAAAGAACAGGACGATGCTTTACTGATCCTTTCCAATTTAGGAATATTGGGAGAGCAGATGTCAGAAGTTATATGTCTAATTCAACAGCCCAGAGAATCTTTAATTAACATGTACTATAACTTGCATACACATTCAAACATTTTTCATAAAATATGAAACACACATGTCTAAAAGATGAAAAAACATTTTATCTCTCAGCTCCTGGTCTCTTTTCTTTTCTGTCCATGTCTTCAAGTCTCCTCTTTCCCTCACTTTCTGCTATTTTTCTCTTTTTGTCCCTATCTTACCCTACCTCTTTGTTTCTCTTTCAAAATTTCTCCTTTAGAAGTATGTCATCCATTGAATTCTCACATACTTTTTGGCAAACACTATAGATTCAGACACACTAACTATTCGTGCATACAACTTTCTCATAATATTAGTAAAAGTATGCCATTTCGGACGCAGCCAAAGAAGCTGCACTGAACAACCACCACACCCTGTTATATGAAGACAAGTTTACATCTGAGTAAATCATTTGGGACATATTGTATTTTAAAGGACAAGAAGTGATAGTCTTTTGAAGATTGCATCCTTCTGGATATGATGGAGAAAAGTCTTCTCAAAGATGATGACAGCAGATGGGTAGATCCTTTGCCTTTCAAACCACAAAGACCTAATTTTCTCAAGAACAGGCCTCAGGTTTTGGATATTTCAAATCACCTAAGAGACTACTGAAGTTCTTTAGCTTTAAAACCTGAGATAAAGGACTTGTTCTTCATGTTCATGAGCAACAAGGAACACACAGAAGTAGCCCCACTACTCAAAAAATACAAAGAGCGCTGGTACTTACTAGGGGTGGGAATCTTTAGGTACCTCACGATTCGATTCATTTGCGATTCCGAGGGCTGGCATGCGATTATAAAACGATATATAATCGATGCATCTTGATGCATCTTTTTTTCTATAAAGGATTTCCTTTTTTCCCCTCACTGTGTGGCAATTTTGGTACTTTTAAAGCACAGTATTTGTAATGATCTATAATGAATTTACTTGCTATATCTTCTATTAATAAATCAAATGGAAGCGATGTGGCAAGTCAACTGGAAGGCTCTCATTCACTGCTCTTGTTTGGAGCACATGAGACATAGGCTGCCACTCTGCGATAAAATGCACAGTTACGGTGAAATAAGATCCTGTGGCAATGGGTGTCCACACAGCAGATTACAGCTATTCTACCCGTTTTATCCAGTTATTCTATAACTTCGGTTTTGGTCTTGTTGTAGAGAGTGGGGGTCGCTGTCTCAGTAAAATATCTTCGAGATGGGGCGCTGTATCTCGGCTCCAAAGTGTCCAACATAACGCAAAAGCCCTGGTTCTCAATGACTGAGTACAGATGCGAATCCTTGGCAATATAAGTTGCGATAGAGTTTGCGATAGTTCACTTCGTCCTTTTCGAGTTGGGTGGAAGCTCTGACATCGCTTGATCGATGCTCCTCTGGTTGGCAGCAACTACAATCAGGTGGAAAATGGGTGGAAACCTAATATGGTTTTCCCCTCTGAACTCCACAGTAGCCAAAGTGCTTCCATACGCTAGCTCAGGGGTTCGGCAACCGCCGGCTCTTTTGCTGGCGGCTCCACATCAGAATTTGATTTCTAGGTAAAAATAAAATAATCCTCCTTTGCAAAATAAAGCTCTGCTGATCGTTCAAACACAGTTTTAACAATAAATGATCTTAAACGCTGGAATTAATGTAGCCTATAATTGCTAGTTCACCTAGCCTAGTAGCTAACTAAAGGCAAAGAGAAAGATTAACATTGATAATTTGGTGACGAACAGACTTATGTGCATTTACAATCACTTAGCTGGTTTCCTGATACATTTAATCTGCAACGAGAAACTGTCAAACACTAAAAAAAAATGTGAAACTGAAGTCAGTTTCTCGTTCTCCAGCCTTTTGTTTGAATTTTCCTGTTCCACCTTAAATGGTGCAGCAGTTACATTCTGGCACCTCAGGCACCATTTAAGGTGAACGGGAAAATTCCAACAAGAAGCTGGAGAACGAGCAACTGACTTCAGCCTCGTAAAAAGTAGAACATTGAGAGATATTTAACAAGAAACTGTTCTACTTCTGTGGAAAAGTTTCCAGCTGGTGATGCAAGAAAAGCGGCTACAGCTGAGCTAAAGCTTAAAGCAGAGCAAAGTAAGTCTGCGTTTTAGCCTACACTAGGACATTAGCACGTACTGAGACACATGTACAGCCAAAATGGTAAAACGGACTCAAAAATGTTGTGGCTCCCAAAGTGGTTTGATTTTTGTTGAAAAGACAAACTGACTCTTATTAACATTTGGGTTGCCGACCCCTGCACCAGCTTTTAATGTAATGTGCACACCGCAGACTGCCCAGGCGCTGCACTTCCGCATTTTGCAAAGTTACGCCTTATACATTCCGTCCACATTACGTTATCAAATAAAATTTAGAAAATTGATTTTTGACATTTGTGAATCGATTCAGAATCGTCCACATCGTGATGCATCTAAGAATCAATTTTTACCCCCACCCCTAGTACTTAACGGTTTTTGGGGTGTATCATCCAAAAAAGCCAAATCAAATGTAAGTGGTTTTTGATTCAAGTGCTTGCTGCAATGGAGTGTCTCTGAATGATGTCTTGCTGAAGGGCCCAGGCCTTCATAATAGCATCATTGAAGTGCTTATTCATTTTCACCAGGAAGCTGTCACCTTCATTGCAGACATACAAATACATGTTCCATTGTTTCATATTCAGACCAGACGACATTCATTTCTATCAGTTCTTTTGAAACCCAGACAATGACCTAAGTAACTAACTCACTGAGTGTCATATGAAAGTGCATTTGTTAGGCAACAACCCTTTGCCATACAAGGAAAGCTTTACTTTAAGATGTTACTGTGGATCCTGAAGACTGGAACACGCTCTTACGTCCAGTAAGAGAACAAGTCTACGACATGTGAAGAAAGTCCCTTCAGAAAATTTTCATGTCCAGAGACCCAATACTCAAATCTCCTGTACTGAAGCCCAAAGTGGTTTGTGTGTTTGCAGATGCTTCTTATACAGGCGATAGTTGCTGTTGCCTGCTAGAAGGTCTTGGACTCATCTGGAGAGTGCCACAAAGGTAAAGTTGGCTCTGTGTCCAGAGCTCATTATCACATGGCTAAAGATTTGTGCTGCTGTGCTAGCTGTTGACATTGCTGAGTTTATCATAACAGAGATTGATGCAAAAATAGATGCTGTCAACATGTTTGTGGATAGTAGACTAGCCCTGGGAAACATCTTCACTGATAAAGAAGATTCTGTCTGTCAGTAATTAAGTTGAACGAATAAGGAGGTACTCTCTTCCACAACAATGCCATTATGTAACCAGCGAGCACAATCCAACTGACGGTGCTAAAAGATCTGTTTCAGCAGCAGACAGAAGGACTTTCAAGCTCAGAAGAGACCTTGAGCTTGCTGATCCTGCACATGATGTCCTCAATTAGGAATACACTGTATCACTGTCAGCTTGGATCCCAATGCTG